AAAAAACACAAAAATCATAAAATTTAGGAAAAACTCGAATGCGCCTTGCGGTGTAAATGATTTTGCCTTGTGTTCCGTTGAATTGGAAGTATCGGGCAGTCTACTAGGCCTAATGCACCCAAATTTTGTGCTCTTTCGATCTGTGCAAAGCGTTTTGCAATCAACGGCCTAGATCTTACAATCGAAGCAAAATAAGTAACCCTGCACCTACTCGCGCATGGCTTCCGCGCCTCCTAGTCCATTGCCGCCTCTGGCACTACTCCTCCTGAACGGCTCGGCCGATCTCGGTGAGATTTTGCACACTTTTTGGGTATGTCCTTGGCTCGGCACACGCGAAATTTCACTATCCTAGCTCAACTGGATCAGTTTTTATAGCCGAAAAACACACAATAAACGGCGAAAAATCGAGTTTTCTGCAGGCAGATCAATTCTGTCTTGAAGAAAGGGGGATCTGGGGGCGGAGCCCCCCAGCCTGGACAAGTGAAAAAGTTTCAAGGGTCAAGGTCGAGTTATCTGTTGATGAAGCAACTCTATCTAGAATAAAGGGGGTCTGGGGGGCGGAGCCCCCCAGCACGCAACAAATTAGACGTAACCGACGACGGAGAAGCCGTTCCCTGCCGATGGCAGGCTAGCGCCGCAGGCCGAGGTAGGTACGGATTGGAGGAACAGGCAGCGAGACATCGCGAAGCCTGTTACGACAAGACGCGGTCTGGCGTAAACCTACCTTGTATTAGAGAACGTACCAAGGAAATTTTAATTAATGTATTGACAATTTGGTTTTGCACTTAATTTTACAAAGGAAATTAGTCACAACTACTTAGAAAACACTTAGTATTATTGTTGCTTTCAAGAATACGTAGTTAATTAGAAAGTAGTCAGTAACGTCCTGAGAGTGTTGCGTTCGGTCTCAATAAAGATAAGAAGGTTGGTGCGAACTATGGGTACGCGTGTAGAGCGTTTTCTTATCGTGTTCTTCTCTTTCTGAGCTCACTCCCAATTAGTATGGTTCTTGCATATAGAATCTTTGCCAAATTAGTCATTTTAATTCATAACAGAAATTATGAAACTCCGAGTTAAGCCCTCTCAGAAAGTGATCAGAGAGCAGCTCTCCGTTTTTGCAGTCCCAGTCATGTTTTTGGTAGTTCTTTACCAAAACTCTAAAGGCCTCACAATAAAAAGTCTGCTAAGCATCGCTTCCTAATACAAAGACAGCAAAGGGATCGTAAATTCAAAAATTGCTTATTCAAAGCACGACGCAGTTCTTGAATGCCATCATTTTCTTCGTAGTGAGCTTCGTGCACACTCATTCCAGGGACGTGACATCACGTTAAGAAGTACGTGACAAAATGTCACGTTCGTTTGAGCATTGTGTCACGTTCGTTTGAATGTGAACAAGCTGTTTTGGCCGATTCACACCCAAACGTACGTGACACAATGCTCAAACGAAGGTGACATTTGGCACGTTCGTTTCAACGTGATGTCACGTTCCTGGAATGAGAGTGTAGACTCTGTTGAGCGCTGTTTAGGTCTTCCAGTGATGATAATGGTGATGATGATAAACTATCCTGTGTTGAGGTGGGCGGTGAGATTGTGATTCGGCACCGCTGCTTCTGCAAGAGGCGGGCGTGCCAGGGCCGCGCGCGCACTGACCCGTGCCGCCACCGCTACCGCTGCACCTGCCAGGGGCGCGAGCCTCCTACCGCGCCCTGCAAGCACGCCCTCCGCGTGGCCACGCTGGACTGGGACGAGTACCCTGCCGCTCCGGACGTCGAACAGGTAAACAACGCGCTGGACATGAAATTTCAATAATTTCGGCTCTAGGCCATCCTAGACCAGTTGTTTCAACTTGATATGAAAATATGAGAGTCCTGTCCCTGTAAAACCGGATGTTGAGATCTCTGCAGTACACACTAAATTCTTATGGACTTTTTAAATGCAAAAGAACGCATTTTTTATGCATAGTTATGCATGCGCTGAAACGTCCATACGGTATGTATAAAATTATGCATCACTGTGTACATTTTATGCATCTTCCTGCTTAAAACGTACACAGTGATGCATAATATTATACATAACGTATGGACGTATCTGTGCATGCATAACTATGCATAAGAAAGTCCACAAGAATTTAGTGTGTAGGCCTGTGCTTTTAGCGGACTTCACTTGGTTCTGTCTAATTCCCTGCCTTCCTTCCATCAGGAGGCGCGGTGCCGCCGAGACGCCGCGAGCGATGTGCTTCGCTCGCTGCTGGCCGCTGCCGCTCGCTCAGCGGACAGTCTGGACGTCCTCGAGCTGGGGCTGTGGAGAGCAGTGAGGTACGATCGCGTCGACATCTTCGGGAGCACGAAGAAAAGCCAACCTGCATGAGCGCTCGACAGTCTCAGCCTCGTAACGTAGTGACATTTTTGTCAATTAATTGACCTATTGGCTCTCGCTTTTAAAATTTTTGGACAGTCGTTTAATGTTGTATTTTCTCTTTGGCTGAGCACGACTTTGTCCAACTTGAAGGAGATTTTCTTGTGATCGATTCTCACGTTTCGGGGTAGTTTCGTTTCTTCTGACTCCTGTGCCCAAACGAGCGCAGATATCGACATGGGGTTTGATTCTGATGTTAGGGAGGGCCATTACCCACTAAACGCACACATTTCGAAAAGTTCACGTTCGTTGGATTGGTCTACCTAGCGTTTGGAATACCCTAAATGTAACTTCCGTGATTGTCCCAAGAGAACATATTCGAACTTTCCGCCCCCAGTGTGGCGGTGTGGTTCGAAAATGCTGCCAACTGTCGATGGGAATTCGAAGCTTGGCATGTCTCGAGCTAATTTCAACCGAAGACCAATACGCCAGACTTCTTTCAAAGGTACTTATGCTGCAACGAAAAATGTCCACCGTATATTCAATTTCACAACACAAATTTCGAAAAGGCAGGTCTGGACTTCTCCCCAAGCCAAACTTTTAACTTTCCATGACACAAGCCATGAAAGTGGAGTCCCTGGGATATAATTGCATGGGTCACGGAAATCTAAGATGCTGTACACGGTCTCAAAGCGGGCTAGAGCATTATAAAATGGCGTGTATCAACAATTACCTGTAACTTCCGTGGCACCCTTATCCCAATGTTGCAGCAGCACTAGGTGAAAAAATTTTCCGCTTAAATGTCGGGCTTAGAGAATCATTTGACCCTGGAACGACTTTTAAGCCACAGCCAGCCCGAGTCAGCCGTTTAAGCCGATTTTCACACTTTGTAACTTCCGTGATAACGTAATTTCCGTGATCAAAACACCCACTAAAACGTATGGGAATACCGTAGGGCTCATGTTTTTAAGAAGGTAGTACAAGGTCTTTACTATAAATACCATTGCCATAACTCTAGTATCATTCAGGACCTCAATAATCAGGAAAACTTAATTGGATATTTCTCACTTTCGGCAAATCAGAGACGTCAAAACTACCCCGAAACGTGAGAATCGCTCTTGTAAATTTTTGATCTGCACGTAACATATCAACAATTTACTTCTGTAAAACGATCAAAATTATGTATGGCTTTTAAGGATTTAGTACATTTTACGTGTGTTTAAACTACTTGATACGCATTCACAGTTTTGTATGTGCGAAACTTCAGCACTAAGCACATTGATTCAGTGTGCTTTAGACGTCTTGTGCCTGAGGTTAGGTTAGGTTCCGGGGCCATACGTTGTAGAGCACCGTTTGTACATTCATTGTAGGGTTTAAAAGTTTTATTTTCCATCATCTTTGTCCACTGAAGGTACGCTGTGGCGAGCTTGGCAGATGTTTGTGAAGATGCTCTCGCCGGCCTGCAACTGCCCCCCAACACCTCCGAAGATGGCAGTGAGCACAGGTAAGGATCTTTTGCCGTATCGCACATTATGCTTTTCGAGTGTGAAGGGTATACCACAAACCTAACTGTCAACTATTTACACACTTACAAACGCAAGCTTGGCAAGTACACACTTACAAATGCCTTTGCTTAGCATGGGGTTATTCGGCGCCAAGCATGCGTTTGTAAGTGTGCACTTGCCAAGCATGCATTTGTAAGTGTGTAGTTGGCCAAGCATGCGTTTCTAAGTGTGCACTTGCAAGCATGCAATCGTGTGTACCAAGTAGACAGTTAGGTTTGTAGTTTATCCAGGTGGGTGTCTGAGGCACCTTGATACATAGACAATCAACTTTATCCATAGACCAACTGCTTCATGCCCGGCTGGGATCCATGTGTTACGCCGCTCCCTGATTGGTCCGTACCTTTCACTTCAACATTTCAAGGTTAAAAACTCGACAAATGTCAATTTTAGTGGGCTGATTGCATTCAGCCTGTTCAAATCTATGTTTCTGGCTCTTGGTTTTTGAGCAAAGCTTGTTGGTATAAATACCAAGTGAAACACAAACAATCAGTTGTCGGCACGATCGGCACGAGCGGTGTTCCTCCGTAAAACTTCCTCTGAGGCTCTAAAATTAAAGTTCATCTGAAAAATCGAGCCGTTTGATGATATTCTTCATTTATGTGAGCTTCTTTTTCATCCACTGAAAGCAGCTGAACATCAACTTAAAAGGTATAAACTGTTCCACAAGTGTGGCATCGACTGCACCAAGCTGCCTCCGCCAGCGAACGCCGCGTTCTGATTGGTGGAGCTTGAGCCTCCTCGACCAATCAGGACGCGGCGTTCGCTGCCGAGGCAGCTTGGTGACCACAGCCGACCAATGACGAGTGAAGTGAAAGGTACCGACCAATCAGGGAGCGGCGTAACACATGGATCCCAGCCTGGGCATGAAGCAGTTGGTCTATGGGTATAGTTGATTGTCTATGCTTGATAACTGGCCGTGCGTGCAGGTGCCCGGGCTGCTGGGTGGTGCTGGGCCGGGCGGAGTGTGCGCGCCTCATCCCCAGGGCGAGCGCGGTGGCGGACGAGGGGGCTGGCGGCGCCGCGTGGCGCGTGGAGGGCCACCGCGTGGCGAGGCTCAGGGCCGGCCCGTGCCCGCGCCCCGAGTGCGCGCGCCTGTTCGGCCCGCACGCGTGCGAACACCTGTACCGGTGCGGGTGCCCCGACGCCCGCAACCCCTGCCGACACGTGCTGCGCGTGGCGGCCATGGAGTGCGAGGCTCGGCTCCGGCTGGACAGCGAGAGGGGAGGTCACCAGGTAAGCAAGTGATTTTCTTAACTCCACTCTCATCCCACACTCTGAAAAAGTTTGCAAACACTCTCACACCTATATATACATTTTTTCTCTCTTGCTCATGACGTTTTTTGAGCAAACATAAAATGTTCTATTTTCTCTTGAACTATATTCACAATTTTGATCGTTGTAAATATAAAATTGTCAATAGATTATGTGGAAATTGAAAAGTTCATTGCAAATGACAAAACGTCAGGTTTAATGGACTAAATACATTATTAAATGAACAAAATAGCGCATACTTTAAGAGAAAAAAGTTTTGCACAAAATACTTTATGGCAAGAGATTAAAAGTCAATACTAGACTGAGAGTGAAGCAAACGATCTTTTCAGCAAGTAAGTCCCCATGCTATAATTTACAAGCTCAAAACCTTACGAAGTATTTTGAGCACACATGGTACAAACTAATGGACTTTGTTTTACAAGGAAATTGTTCGTAAATGAAGAAGTATTTTAATTGTAAGCTTATGAATGCTCAATGTTTTTTCGTCTTCAGCTGCTTTTTTTTGTAAGGCCTAAATTAGTTAGTAAGGTTTTCAGAGTGGAAGCTTGACGCTCCAAGCCATGCTCTAAGCTTTTCAATTTAACGTCATGTGGTCATTTTGTGGGAGTCCTGTACGTCGCGGCTGACTGCACTCACAGAAGTCTGATGCATTTGCTTCTTACGTAACAACCAAAAAAATAAAAGCTTTGTAAAATTGCTTCGGGATTTTGCTCCACAAAGCGTTTCTTCGCGGTGTTTACAATTGCTTCGTCTTCTTCGTTTTTCAAAGCGATTTTCGGAGAGTTTTTGCTGTTTCTTGCCATCCTCCGCTAAAGCCATTGTCTGCACACAGGTTCCGGCCGAAGCGCAAGCCGAGTCCCCCGAAGTGAAAACCGCCGTGGCTTTTGCATCGCCGAAGCCTGCGGCGCCTTCCACGGACGTTACGGAGGCGGCTGTTGTGCCGGAGGTGCCTTCCCCCGACGCGAAAGGAGTCATGGCGCCTTCCCCCGACGTGAAGGAAGCCACCGTGCCTGCGGCGCCCTCTCCGGACGTGAAAGAAGTAGCCACCGTGCCTGAGGCGCCTTCCCCCGAGGTGACAGTCGTGGCCGTCATCCGAGCAGCACCACCCGTCCTTGCTGCGGGTCTGGGGGCGCCACCGACCCGGAAGCGGAATGCCCTGGCGGCGGCGTTCGGCCAAGGACCGGCCGGGAACACGCGCCGGCAGAGAGCAGCGCAGCGGGCCAAGCTTGCTGCAAGCAACACGGAGGAGGGCTCGTGAGAAAACGGCCTTCAACTTTCATCGCAACCTGCCATCCTGATGCACCATCATGCGTGGCGGTCGCATTGCACTGTTAACACAAGTTTAACGTATGGGTTACGATGAGACCTACTCTCGCATTGTCATGTTTAAGTTCAACATGAGACTAATTAATGTATCCCGATAATGACGACATTTGAGAAAATTTTAGAACACTGCTGTTTGAATTAGCAGATCCCAATTAGTTTTTTTTCCAACATCATTGTAAATTGCAGTTTTTGAGAACGTTCATACAACGTATTTGCCAAACCTGTGAACTTATTTGATTTTGTTTTTCTTTAGAACATCACTGTAAGGTTCAGCTTTAAAAAACGTATTAAAGTTACGTCTTTGTAAGGCCCGTGAACAATTTAGAGTTAATTCATTGTAATTATCGTGAAAAATTGTAAAATTATTGTTTAGTTTCCTGAAATATATTTCCGGTTTCAAGTATCACATCAAAGTTTTTGAATGCATCCCTTGCAGGACGTTAACTGTTCGAAATCTATGGGTGAATTAAGTACGCACACTCTCAGGACGTTACTGACCTTCTTTTTCTCATTACTTACGTATCGTATGAGCAACAATAATACTTCGTATTTTCTGAGAAAGTATGACTGATTTCCTTTTAAAAATTATGTTCAAAGTCAAATTGTCAGTTTATTATTCGATATTTCGTAAATAGTTATTTAGAGAAGGAAAAGTACATATTATGGTTGCACAAGTTACTTGCATAAGTACTGACAAAACGAGCAAAAAGTCAGTGAAGTGCTGAGAATGCACCTCTCCATGACCCCCTCCGATCCCCCTGATATTTTGGGGACTTGAAAGACACAAGGGAAAGGGGAAAGTCAGTCTTAAAGATACTGGGTAAACTTAGTGGCTGAGCTGTGGAATATTTACGTTTGTCTTTCAAATTTGGCGCTTAAGGGGGGACCCTGGTGAAACTTTCAAGTAGGCTTTAAAATAATCCCAGAAAGTTGAAACTTTGCTTGATTATAAAGTTCATTATGGTGAGTTCATAAAACAAAATTCAATCCAAAATGTTGAACGGTCTCTGAGAAAATGGCTTTTTAGTGTTTTTTAGAGCGTTGGGGAAAAATCTTCCTGCGTCTTTCACTGGAACGGAAAGTCTAAAAATTTTTTTTGGGTTATCCTTAAGATGTATAGAAGAGATTTTAGTGACGGAATTTTCAATTTCATCTTCTGTCCTGAGATATCAATTTTCAAATTTAAACTTTTAAAAAAAAGTAAATTTTTTTGCCTTTTTTGAAACTTTTAGGTGTGTTTTAAAAAAAGTAGGGCTGATATCAAGATTCCGTCACTAAAATTTGTCGATAAGTCATCAATGAATAGAGTCCATGCAAGACGACTCATGTAGGTGTCAACCAGGAAGCAGGAAGTCTTTCTACGACAAAATTTTTTGTCGACTGAGCAAAGCTGTGAAGTTGAGCGTATAAGCCAACGACAACTGATCTCAATGTTATTTCTTTCCAAATGATGAAGGAACTACCCACATAGTTTAAAGGTGTTCAATCTGTTGAATCTGAAACCTTCTATGCACATTTTTATCTATGAACTTTGAAAATACTATTTTTGGCAATTTTGGTCATTTTTTCACCAGGGTCCCCCCTTAAGGGGGGACATCACTCCAAAAACAGTGCTTTTGTAAAAACGTTATAAAAACGAAACGGAAAGAGAAAAATTGTTCATATTTTAACTGATAAAGTATAAAACAACACAAAGTCAATCCGCCAGGGCAGTACAGCGCTTTCGTTGAAAATGCATTTTTGAGGTGGTTAGGTTAGACCATTTCGCACTGTTGCAGCGCTGGACGCCAAACGGTTTGACCTAGAACATTGAAATTGGGGACAGCCTTCCTGAGATGTCTGGCTGTGGTGGGTACCTCAATCACATTTCAAAAATCATTTTAAGTTGTATTTGTAACATACCAAAAAAAATTGTTAAATTTTTTTGGTCAAAATTGTTCAATTTTAAACGTTAAAAAAATAATGAAAATTGACCAATGCAAATTATTTTTCTACCCACCATAGCGGCATGTCGTAGGAGCTTCCATGCTAAATCTCCCCGCTGTAGCTCAAAAAATGCGCCCGAGAGGCCTGCAACCGTTTGCAATTTCATGTTCCGAGAAAAAAGCGATCAAAGTTGGGGGAAAATGGTTTTTCCCCTGTGCATGTTTGCGGGCCCACAACCTCCTAGAACTGCAAGTTTTTGAATTCCGGCATGCGATTTTCACCATTCGACGCAGAAAGGAATGGTCTATAATATAAACTAATAAAAAAAAGTTGTAATTTTTGATCATTTTGGAATGATGTCCCCCCTTAAGGACACTTTCCTTCCCAAAATGGCTCAAATTCGGTTGTTTTATAAAACTGACCAATGAACAAGAATTTGACTTCAGCTGACTCCAGTCTAAAAAAAAACTCTTCGTATGAAGTCTGGTGAACTCGTGTAAATTGTCAGAATGTCAGAAACATGTCTGAAATCCCGATCAAAATTCGCACACCTCTGAAAGCTGAAGTTCCGAAAACTTGACCTAAAATGGATGGCCTGGTTTCTACAGAATGTCAGAATGAGTTTTCAGCGTTCAGAGGTGCGCGAAATTCGATCAGGTTTTCAGACAGATTTCTGACGTTCTGAAAAGATTTACATGAGTGGGGTTTCGGGACTAAGAGAACAATTTTTTCCTGCCCACGTGGTGTTATCGTTCCGTCAAAAGGGGAAGAAACCGCGCAGACTACACTGGTAAAACTAAAGCGTACACTGTGGCAAAAAGGTACGGAAAATTCTGTTAATTTTTTTTGCCAGGATTCTCCGTAGCCCTCTTATCAATATTCTCCGTAGGATCTTACAGTATTCTCCGTAGGGCCGCACAGTATTCTCTGTAAGTCCGCACAGTCTTCTCCGTAGGACCTGGAAGACTTATAGTCCTACGGAGATCACTGTAAGGTCCTACGGAGAATACTGTGCGGTCCTACGGAAAATACTGTAAGAGCCTACGGAGAATATTGATAAGTGGGCTACGGAGAATTACCACAAGCTGTTTACAGAATTTTCCGTAGCTTTTTGCCACAGTGTAGTGTTATCCTCTTTTTTCAAGCGTAGTTAGTTTACGCTTGAAATCAAGCGTATCAGGCTCATCCACCAATAATCTCCCTATCTTAATGCATGGGGAAATTTCTAGTCTATGCTTCATTTCAAGCGTAACGTCTTCAAGCGTAACATTATGCTTGACTCAAGCATATAGTTACGCTTTAGTTTTACCAGTGTATTAGGACCGGCTGTTTTGAAGCTGTGGATTATATAGTCAAGAAGTGGCGTGTAAAAGGGTGAAAATAAGTCAGAAGCTTACATTTGGTTACTATTACACCTTGGGATGTGCCCTAATACCGACGTTAAAACCCTCAATAGCCAGCGAGCCGTATGAAACAAAACTTGAAATCCCAGAACGGTGCCTATTTTTCAAGTATGCGGGGTCAGGGGTGGTGGTGACCACCATTCTACACAGAATTGCTTGAATTCAGAGATAAGTTATTGTGGGGAGTCGTTGGTCGGGGTTACCATCAATTAGCCCTATCCTACACTCTCACTCCAGGAACGTGACATCACGTTGAAACGAACGTGACAAAATGTCACGAACGTGACAAAATGTCACGTTCGTTTGAGCATTGTGTCACATTCGTTTGGGTGTGAATTGGGCAAAAATCAGCTTGTTCACATTCAAACGAACGTGACACAATGTTCAAACGAACGTGACACTTTGTCACGTTCGTTCCAACGTGATGTCACGTTCCTGGAATGAGAGTGTATGCACGCTTTATTACGTAGTAGCAAAATTAAAACGGTAAACCGCGTTTTCCTCAGGGCTTGAGTTTTCTGGTCTCAAGTTAGGTGGTCTCTAGGGAAACGTCTGAAACGGACTACGAGAAGAAACGTTGAGAACTTAAGAGTGTATTGGGTATACACATGGAGCGAGTACACACTTAACTTGGTAGTGTCTGCGCCAAGGCTGGATTTGCCGGCACGAGCGAGCACTGAGCAGCCGCGAGAGTCCCGTGTTTATCTCACGCTCACGATAAGTGTCAAACAGCTTTGAGCACGTAATATGCTGTGCCCGATGAGCTCTAATTTATTTTCTGTAATGTAAAAAGCCTAAGAAGTATTTGCTTCGTAATACGAAGAATAGGGTATTTCTACGAATCGTGCACACTGAATGTTATGTACAATTTTGTACGAGACGTCATAGTTTTTGGTGCACACGAATTTTTCGTACAATTTTCGTACGAAAAACTGCACATTTTCCGCCATTTTTGTACAATTGTACAAGCTATTGTACAAATTTGTACGAAAAGTTCGTGTGTTCAAAAAACTGTGATGTCTCATAGAAAATTCGTACAAAAACATTTAGTGTGTGAAACGGAAGGAAGAAGTACACCAGTAAGTGCACAACTTCTGTCCCCTCGCCTGAGGAGGGGTAAAGACGGCTGCCCCTGAACCCCCTCCTCAGGCGAGGGGACTGAAAGTTGTACACTTCCTGGTGTACTTCTTCCTTCCGTTTCAAGATTCGCGAAAATACCCTATTCCTGCTTATTGAGAAGGAAGAGCTTTGTAGACATTTCCGAGTGCGGAGGACTTTAGGGCCACAAGGCAGGGTGACGTGCAGTGCTCCCACACCTCGAAAACAGAGACACCACTGAACCTCTGTTGTTACGCTACCGCCTCTGGCTCGCGAGCTTGGCCCTTATCACATCTTGCGTAACGCGACTTTGCCTTCTGATTCAAAGGAGACCGTAGATCCTGGGACTTATTTGAGTGGATTTATTTCAGTTAAGTCTCGCCTGGCCAGTCAAACGCAAGGTAATCCATGAGTTATCTCGAGGGAATTTCGGAAGGTGTACATATTCAAAACTTAACACGCGAGCGGTTGTTTTAACAGTGCGGTAGTTTTATAAGCCTGCTCCACAGAACACTTGAGCAGGGCTTCTTACTTCCAATCAGTTTGCGACCTTTCCATTTCGTTAATCTCTGCCTGTTGCTCTACACTGCTCACTGTACAGCGTACACTGTACGCTCTACGGAACATGACGGCCGAGCATGCACCTGCTAGAGCTTAAATGCCATGCACACGCTGACTGCAGCATACATCTAGTGCAAAAAGGGTAGGGAGTTGTCTGAATCAGAAAGCGGGCACATGGCATACACTAGTAAGTGCACGCTTGACAGGCATGCGCTAGCTAGAGCGTGCTTGCAGGCATGCTCCAGGTGGTGCATACTATGTTAAGCTTTTCGATTTGCAAAGTGGTTGTCTTTGTCGTAAACGATTTCTCGCTCCCGCATCACTGATCCAAATATCTTTTAGCTTCCGTTCAACACTTTGCCTTTTCAGAACTGCTCAGGACTATCTCAAATTTTGAACTTCAGGATTGAACAAAGTGAAGCCCGGCTATTCAGGTACATATTCTGAACTTATTACCACTTCGTCACAGTTTGAGGTGTCCGACCTTACGCATTGTCCCTGTTACGCTACGCACTCTGAACCTGAGTCAAGTAGATTCTTCATAGGACAAGTATTTTGAGCATACGTATTAAACTTTTACAGAACATAGTTCGCAATTTACAAACTAAACTAGATAGGGTACTTTCGTAGATCCCTGAACGGGAAGCACATAGACGCCATGTTGGCGGAAGTAGATCCAAACTTGACATGGGAAAGAGACGTTCGTCAAACGTATCGGCCACACTTGAACATAAACAGTTGTTTGATACTTGTTTGCAGTGCATATGTGTTTCCCAGCAATATTTGTACAGCTCGGCTATAGTTTTGGATCCGAAGAGAGGTTTGTTTCCGGCCAATTTGGCGTCTGCTGGTCTGCTTGCTTCCGGTTCAGGATTCTACGAAAGTACCCTATTGTACTGTGTGCTTACAACACTTCGCAAGGTTTTAAACGTGCGAAAATGCTGTTACGGCCATATGGCCGGATTCCAAATATTCCAGGACTTCCCCGAGGAGGTGTGCACCCTCAACCTGTGACCCGCTTATAACGCTTGGCAAACAGCCTGCGAAGCATCTGCTTTCGTATGAATAATTTCCTCCTAGATTTCTTCCTAGTTATTACAATCTACTTTTCTTCCTATCACTTTGTAGGCTTTTTCTGTGCTGGATTACATCTAGAAATAAATGGAAATTTCGCTAGAAACGGACCAAAAGTTCATTAATATTCGGACAACTCTAGCTATTCGCCACGATTAAGACCGTTATGCATGCCTTTACGGACAATGGCCCGACATTGGCTCGAGTGCTCCCGCCTTCGGACATTCCTATGGATGTTGAAAGTTCCGAAGGAAATGTAGTTGCGTGTAACACTGTTAAAATGAAGTTCGGAAATATCGGGAAGTACGAAGCGAAGTTTTGACGGGATTTGCCGAACACCTGAAATGATTTTGTACAAATCTGCAAGGGGAAATCACTGTGATCACTTTCAAAAATTCCGTTCTTTGGTACGGAAATGGTTCAGTAAAATATAGTACGGAGGTACGGAGAAAAGTACGGAACGTTCCGTACTTGCTCCAAATGAACCCATGTAAATGGGTACGGGAAAAAAAGGACGGACGTTCTGTAGTTGGCAAGTACGGACGGTCTAGGCAAATTATCGGCCAGACATGTTCCGTACTTCTTTCTCACAGTAGAACTTTCGGCGTACAAATCCAAAGTATTTCAGTCGAAATTCTATGAAATTCAGTCACATTTTGATGAATTTCATTCGCAATTCGATTAATTTCAGTCAAACTTCGATGAACTTTGGTCGTATTATAGCGATTTTCAGTGAATTTTACGTGTTTGATGAATTTTGGTGTACTAAATTGGCTGGAGTTACTTCCCCTTTCAATCCCACCCGAGTTACGGGCTTCGCTATCGTTGAGTCAAGAAGTTATGCACAGGGATGACCCCACTTTAAATTGAATTTTAGTTGGGGTCATCCTTATACATATTGTTTCTATCTCTAGTCTCTAGCGAGATACAGAATTAACGTTAATGGCAAAAGTGTAATGTTTGCACGCCCTGCTCGCAGACCATGGAGTGCCAGGTGTGCCTGGAGCAATTCAACTTGGTGGAGCGTCGGCCGAAGGTCCTTCCATGTGGGCACTCGTATTGCTTGAAGTGTCTCCAGCAACTTCCGACCAAAGAGTGTCCCCTGCACAAAAAGGTACGTAGTTGTGTCGGTTTGTCGTGTCGATTCGGCCTGAGAGGAGGAGTTCTCTTTATCATACTCAGTCCACCCGTAACATTAACGCGTTCAACTTTTGCTGAGACCCGAAACGGTAACGCGTGAACGTTCAGGGCCTCTCGGTTAACGCGTAACTTAACGCGTTACGTTTGAGATCTAACGTTAACAACCCTGCACGTGAGTGCAAGGGCTTAAGCGCCCCTGCATCGAAACAGGAAATATAAAAGTGCAACATTCATGTTCCAAAAGACATTCATGTTATGAGTCTTAATGTTTTTCCCCTGTCCAGGAATTCCTCGCCGCCCCAGAAGAGTTGGTGGACAACTTCTCGCTGCTTGACACTCCCAACAGGTGAGCTTGTGGTGCGGCGACTCTCACACTAAGTCGCGTCAGACAAAATCCCTAATTCTTGTCTTGCATAAGAATTTTTTATTTTTATTTTAAGACAAAGCACTAGTTACCGCATTCATGTCATGATTTAAAGCCATCAATTCACTTTTGAAGATGATAGCGCGATTTCAAACTATTGTAGCACTTTCTAGTAAAAGTTCTGTTTTAAATTATGTCGCGAAAATCAGAATGTTAATTAAAAGAGATTTGTTCGAAAACAATACCAGAAGAATCCAATTAAGAGATTCTAACCGCCACGGCCAAAACGGTTCCTGGTAGAGACGATCGGCCACTGGGCCTGTTCCAGGCGGGCCAACAAAGGCATGCCGCGGCCATGACCCGTTCATTTTGCACTATTGGGATAAATTTATACACTCCTGGCACCGCGACGAGACGAAGAGAGCGGTTAAAACAAGTTCAATTTGATAAATTTGAAAGCTCAGAAGTTCACCCGTTGCTGTGCATGCTGAGTGACACCTGTCACGCTGTGCACTTTGACGTGCTTGCAAGCACTCACCAGGATGAGCGAGCTTTGTGGTTTACTCCCAGGTGGAGGATGCCATGCACTGTGAGAAAAAAGTACGGAAAAAGTACGGAACATGTCTGGTCAATTAATTTGCCTGGACCGTCCGTACTTGCCAACTACGGAACGTTCCGTACTTTTTTTCCGTACCATTTACATGGGTTTATATGGAGCACGTACGGAACGTTCCGTATTTTTCTGTACCACTTCCGTACAAAAGTACGGAATTTTTTACAGTGTGCACCATTTTGGTTTTCTATAGAAGTTGCGGAATCGTTCATTTGTTTCCAGGCCGCCACGCTTCTGGTGCATCTCGTGCAAGAAGGAGGCGTCGGACAAGTGCGTGGAGGACCACGCCGTGCGCAGCCTCAAGAAGAAGCGGGGCAACGAGGTGGAGCGGCCCCTGCAGGCGCTGCAGCAAGGCAAGGTGGGCCTGTCTAAGCTGGAAGCAACGCTGGCGTCTGCCCACCGCGACTTCGTTTTGCAGGAATGCTTGGAAGAGCTCCAGCGGGTAAAGGCTGATCTGGACACGGCCCGGGAGCGCGTGCAGGACGCGATGGAGGTGGACTCCGCTGGCTGGAAGCGGGCCAAGGAGGCTGCAGTGCCAGGAGGTAAGTTACTGAGGTCTCAAGATCGTAATTCGATCAAAACGTTTTTTGTTATGGCAGCACAGCACCTGTCGTGAGGTATTCTCCGTTACTCACACTGAGAAAACCTTACAAACTATTTTAGGCTTTACAAAGAAAGGCAGCTTGTTATTACAAAGTATGAGCAGACATAAGCTTACAAAGAAAATACTTCATAGTTTATGAACTATTTCTTCGTATGACGAAGTTGATTAGTTCGTAAGGTTTTGAGCGTGCAATAAGCTCGTCAATAGCCAGTTTCCTCATATTACTAATTTCTCCACTAAAAACTCACTAAATTTTTCGTACAATTGTTTCTACGTGGTCTCATTCAATTTTGTGCACGCGTGCACACAAAATCTATGTGTGTACTCAGCACACACTTCAAGGTGCGTGCTTACAAGCATGCACTTCTAGGTGTGTACTTGCCTAAGCACGCACCTAGAAGTGTGTACTTGAATGAGTACACACTTATAAGTGTGTGCTTAGTGAGTACACACTTGCGAGGTGCATGCGCGGCATAGGGAAAACGCATACACTTCTATGTGTGTACTCACTGAGTACACACTTAAAAGTTGTACTCATTCAAGTAAAACACTTCTAGGTGCGTGCTTAGGCAAGTACACTCCTAGAAGTGCATGCTTGTAAGCACGCACCTAGAAGTGTGTACTGAGTACACACATAAATTTTGTGTGTGCTTTTCGCTACAAACTTGTTAGAGGGAAAAGTTAATTTGGTTCAATTACTTATATTTCAAAGGATCCCTTGAAGACGATTCCTTTTAGAACCGGACCTCCTTTCGCACCGTTGGGCATTGAAGTCTCTATGCACGAACTTCAGGTGACCCTTGCAGTGAGTCCGTTCGTGTCCCGCAGGATTAGCCAGAGACGCTGCCCCTTTGGCGGCCGACCTGTCGGACCCGTCGGTCGAGTGCAGTGTCACGGTGCGCCGCGGCGGCGTCGAGGCGTGGCAGGGGGTCGTGAAGCCCGCGGACGAAGCGGCGGCCAGGCTCCTGCTGTGCCGACTGGCGTGCTCCGGGAAGCTGAAGCAAACTGCCCAGCAAGACGGTGAGTACCAGCAATGTCCGCTAATGGCCTCTTTTCTCTTCCTACACTCTTCAGCGCACTGGCAAAATTGAAGCGTTAGTTGGGTAAGCATTAAGTTACGGTTTGAAGACGTAACGCTGGAAATGAAGCATCGACAAGAAATTCCCACGATGTGCACGCATGTATATATACTCAGACCAGAAAACGAAGAGCCTTGAGTTCTCGCGGTTTATGGCATCTGCCGCCTTTGATAGCATTGCAGGTAGCCGTCGACCGCGAGAACCGAGGCTCTTCGTTTTCTGGTCAGAGTATAGGTAGGGGGAATCTGGTCGGATGTAGCCACTCTTCATTCAAGCTTAGCAGCTCCAGACAAAACAAACTTGGTCGGGGACCTCCTCAGACTTGGCTCGCTCCCTTTTTGGCCCGCCCTTCTATTCAAAAAATAGGGGGAGGGCCTATGCATTTGCCCTTGTGTCTGTGGTTGTTTTTTGTTGTTGTTGTTGGCGTCTGTGTACAAGGAAGGAGTTGAGCTAGAGTAACCAGATTTTGGGGGGTACTTCAGGAGTACCGCCCCAAAAAAATAATCCGGTGGTGCAAATCCCGTCCGGGTCGCACAAGGGCTGCTGCAGGTGCATCATGGTTTTTCATGAGCGGGAGGGGGGTTTCCGCCATTATTGGGGGCTAGCAGGGCACATAGGGGTATTTTTGGAATCGGGGCGACGAGACAAAATGAACGGACCTGGTCCCGACCCCATCGGCTGCTTTTACAAGTTGGCCAGATCAGGATCTTCAAAAAAGGGGGTCGACCGACTAAAAAAATTTATTGCAGATTTCGATTGGTCTCAGCAAGACCTTTTCAACGAGGGTTTGGAAAAGGGGGGCTAGGAGCCCGACTTCGTCTATTAGTCACATCAGGATCTTGAAAAAAAGGGGGTTTGACCGACTGAAAATTTTTTCTTAAGTTTTGGATAGGTCTTGGCAAGACCTCTTCAACGAGGGGTCGGAAGGGGGTCCAGGAGCCCACCTTCATGAGTTATGGGGAAAAAATGCGACGGACTCGTTTTGCGCTCCTGCTGTGCCCCTATTGCAAGGAGTTGCAGTAGCATGGCAAAAATGGGTATTTTCGGAATGAGGGCGAAGAGACAAATGAAATGGGGATATTCTAAGGACATTGGAGTAAAAAGTGTAAGGACTATTGCATATTGTGAATAGAAGGGGGGGCCTAAGTCACGATGGTACATCGATAACTTTGCTTTACCCGCTCACGGTGTGTGTGATGCGAGCGGGCCGAAGGCCCGGGCTTTCGACTGGCCAAGTTGGGTCTGATGCGGGGGCCGAAGGCCCGAGAAAAGGCCGCCGGCGGGCCCAAGCTGGGCCGGCCCCCTGTCGAACCGAGTTGCCGGCGCAGCAAAGCGGAGCTGGCAACTCGGTTCGACGGAAGGGCGGGCCCTAGCTTGTTAGGCACGAAGTAGCCTTATAGTATACCGGATTCAGCCGCCCGAGATTCAATTTGTGTGGCCCTTTATGCTTTCGGAAATTTTCTATACGATTTTAATGAGACTTTGCAGACTTGTAGAACTTTGAACGCTGATTATCATGCTGAAATCTGGGTTTAAAAAATTGGTGGCCAATTTTGAGAAAATTTTCTGTCAAAATCGCCGTTTCCATGGCAAAACTCGACTCGTCAAAGGAAAAAAAAAGGGGGTGGGGGGCAGGGGCGGACTGGCCCGGGCGGGCGGGTTTAGTATTCCCGCCCGGGGCCCCAGGCCCGGAAGGGCCGCGGGCCGCAAGCCGTGGGCCGTCGTGGGGCCCCCGGGGCCGCCGCGGGCCAAAGCAGGGGTGCAGGGGCGGGTCGGCCGTGGGGACGAGAAGGGCATGCCGCGGGCTGCCTGCGTCTCGGCCTGCGTGTCCTGAGAGTGATTCCGGTTCCGCACTGTGCACTATGACAGGCCATCGGTCTCTCCGAGTGGGCTTTCGCTCCTCAGAGGAATTAGTCAACAGCTCGGGCCACGGCCGTTAGCTTCAGCCTCACTTGGGAGGGTGTAAAGACAGCGGCACAGTGAAAAAACAGGCCGAGAAAGTGCGAGAAAAAAGACTTAGTTCTCAAACCACTGTTATAAATTTTAAAACGATGCAAAATGAAGTTTTTGAAGTTTTGGGGTTAAGGGAGTAAAGGTGGGCAGCCACCTCAGACAACACACGCTTTTTTTCGACTGTTAGAGTTTAATTCCAGCAATTATGAGTTTGGGCAGCCAACACTGAGAATGAAAGAGTCACCACCATCGCCCTTTCTTTGGGTAATGCACGCATCGTAGCCCTTGGGTGACGAGGCCACGGTGACCAAATTTTGGGCAGTCATAAAATCGTCCCCCAAAATTTGGGTAACGTCGTCGGCGACGCGCTGAGGCCCCCGACGACGCTCTTCCGGGGCCACCACGATGCCCCAATGTGGCGTTGAGGCCTCTGGTCAACGTGGTCCCCCGGGGGACGTCTATCGCGGACCTCACGGCGTCGTCGACGGCGTTCCCCAAAATTTTGGGCGACCAAACGCCTGTTACCAAATTTCGGGTGATGAATTTTTCGTCACTCAAAATTGAGCAACGAAGTTGCATCACCCATGTAAAGGGTGATGGTGGTGACCCATTCATTCTCAGTGAAGCTCTTATCGCATTTTTGTTTGGAATTCTCTAAAAAAAGAGACCTCTCCGACCTGCAGAACGGAGGAAATGTAGACAAGATCAAAAGACGACTTTTCATTCGAATAGTTTCAGTAGGCCTATGTTTTCGGAAAACTTTGAATATTGTAAAATTCTTTTAAAAACTTTCGTTTTGAGCCGTTGTCCGACCTGGAACTGATGATATAGTGCTAATGGATCGAAAAACGGCAAAACAATTTCAACAAATCAAAAATTCAACTTCCTAATTGAATTTAGTCGAAAAAAAAACATGCTGTACCGTTTTTGTTGTCTTTTTTTCTTTGAAGGCACATATCTTTCTTTTCCCCACCGTAAACAGGTCGGCCCGGAGAGGTCTCATTTTGTACAGAATACTCTAAACTGTGCCGAAAAGAGTTGGGCCGCCCAAATCCATATTTGAAGGAAATTAACTCGAACTAGTCCGAAAAAAAGGCCGTGTTTTTAACTTTGGTAAGGTTTAAGCTGCCCCCTTTACCTCACATTTCGTGAAACTTCATTTTTTTTCGTTACATCTGAGAAAAAGTAGTTTAAGCACAGAAAAATTTTTTTTTTTTTTTTTTGCATTTTCGGACCTCTATTTTACTGTGCTGAGCGAGGGTGGGTTAAAATGCAATATGTACCATTGTAGTGTGATCTCTCTCTTTATGCCCTTAAAATACATATTTTATAATGTATACCAAAATAAGGGGCACATCCAAACCACCTCTCAGCAGAACACTGCTTTGGCATGAAAACAGGGAAGACCGGCCGGGGGGGGGGGGGGGCGCTTTGGGTAGGGGGCCCTCCGATGAAATTTTCCCCCTCGGGCCGTTTGGGTCCCAGTCCGCCCCTGGTGGGGGGGGCCGAGCCGGGGCGGACCAAAAGCCGAGCTTCTTTTTTGGGGCTGTACAGCTTACTCCAAAAACTGAAATCAGCACGTTCGAAATGAAAAATTTCTTTGACTGCAGGTAGACAAGATGCAACAATAGAATTTGGGGTCGGTTCGAACGCAGTTTTTTGGGTAGAACTATCCAATAATACTTCTTGATTGGAGTGTTTTTGGACATGCGCAGTAGGTTTTCAACCTGTTAACAGTTTAACCAACTGTAGCATTTGAAACCCGTATTTATTATGCTCTCTTTCTTGTTTTTTCTTTGTTTCCTGCTTATAAAATTCTATAAATAATTTTCAATTTTTGGTGATGACTTTCTAAAAAATATTCACAGAAAAATTTGCAAACCAAAAATTCTTTTTTTTTGACATACAGTTTCTCAAAAATTCCTTTTTTTTTTGTCAATAAAACAATTTTGTTGTTGTTGTGATTCAGTTAGCACTAGGACCACTTCGCTCCACCTCGCGACTTGCAGTGCTCATGTTCCTCGAACAAGACTCACCCGCGTTTCGAAACCATCCCTCCCGAGTTTATGAAGTTTGTCAAACCAACCGTCGTGGTGTTGATACGTTGTAAGGGAGAACTATTACACAGAATTGAAGAAAACATGACTAGAGAACCATAGCCTTTTGAAACAAGCCAAACAATTCAACGTCAGCAACAATGGATGGGCAGTTTTAATGCGCGACTGCTGGTGCTTTCAGCTTCGCGATTTTCGCAAGGGCGCAGACGCCGAGAAACTAGTTGCCAACCCGTGAAAATTAATTTACTGCCTTCTTTCTGCCAAGAACATTTTAATAATGATGGACTTTAAAGATGTTCCATTGTCAGAACACTGTGGAATACACTAGCACTGGAATTTTTTGAATTTACCAGCATTTTGATTTCTATTTTGTCAAGTTTAAATTTTGACGGGTGGCACATCGACCACATTGGTACCACTGCCATTGGTAGTCCCCTGAGCTACAATCACAACACCACTTCTTTTCTTTCTCCACACTCTTACACAATAATCAAATTGACTTCGTGACTCCTAGGATTTCTTGAAATCGTTTTTTTTTTTTTTTTTTTTTTTTTTTGGTTCCTCTAGTAAGAACTGCTGAAACTCAAATAGGGTCGGATCCAACACCGATTGGCTTTTCGGTTAGGCTAATAATGGCTGTTTTTTGTGGGTTTGAGGCTCTTTGGGATTCCGAAACCTGCTGGCCAAGAAATCTACCAATGTTTTTTATTTGAAAGGAAAAAATGCGCCCTTTCGAATGCCGGGTCGCGCGAGGCTGTACTGCCCAGCGGCGACCCTTTGCTATGCAGGCCTTTTCTTGGTGCCATCATGAGTGTGGCAAACAGCCTCGGAACAACGAGCGAAACAAAGGGTCGAACCCTTATGACGCACCGGAACAGCACTCCGACAATGAGGCCCCCGGTGGGGTTCGGCTGTTTAACTTTTCCTTTGGTCGCCGCTGGCTCAGGGTACGACGTCGGGTTTGGAAACTACGGAAACTACTCAAAATTTTTTCATAATTGTTTGATAAATGTTTGCCCTTAAAACTGATTGTCTTGAAACTTCGGGACTTTTTCGTCGAAAAAATGTTTTTAAAAGGGCGCATTTTTTCCTATGGAAACCAAAAAAAAGAACACTTAGGTAGATTTTTTGGGTCAGCAGGTTCCGGGATCCCAAAAAGCCCCAAACCCTCAAAAACGGCTATTTTTAGGGATTTCCGACCTCTATCAAAGAGCCAACCGGTGTTGGATCCGGCCCTATTTCGACGATTCGTATTCACTAGAGGAACCAAAAAAACCGGGAGCGAGCCAGATCTGAGGGGGTCCTCGGCCAAGTGATTTTTGTTTGTCTGGCGCTGCTCAAACGGACCTACGTTTTGTTTTATGACCTTTGCAGCAGTGCTTTTGGTTGTTTATTTGTTGTGTTTTTTTCTGCAGTGGTACACTGGGAAGAGAGCACCAACACTGCGAACTTGAGCGGGGCGGACATGAAGTCCTTAATGGTGAAAGGCAGCAGAGTGGCGCGCGTCTGGAGACGGGGTCAGGAGTACAAGGACTACGAAGGCACACCTCCCGGGCCTGGAATTGTGGATGGTTTTTGCTGTAAGGAGGATGCGGTCAGTGTGACGTGGGACCGCACTGGCCAGGTCGGCTTGTATTGGATGAAGCCGTCGAGTTACGACCTCCGTCCCCTGCCACCGCTGTTGGTAAGCAAAGGAGGAGCATAACTCCGGACCCACGCCACTAAGAAAAGTGGCGAACGGCACGCCAACGGCTCTGTATTTTATTTTAAATGTAATATTCCAACATTGACATTCATAAATCTGATCAATAATTCTTGAGCAAATTTGTCTTTGTCCAAAACCTTCACTCTCAGCCTTCATTCTACTGACATTTTTTGTCTGTACTTTTCCTTAAAAAATCTGTTTATAACATATTGACATTTTGTATGTTAGCCGCACTAACAAATCCGTCACTAGGTATTTAAAAGAAGCACGGAGGTCCTGTGGGACTAATTTGTTAGTGCCTACATAGAGACTTTGTCAGTATTAAGAAAGAAACAGAGTCAGTAGTTAGTAATAAATGAAGTCAGTACAAACAAATAAAATCCTATGTACATGATCAATATTTGTCGCAGACATTACATATATTTTTATGGACCTGCAATACTTGTCGCTGACTGACAAGTGGCCCAACAAGCTATCTGTTTCAAAACAAATCTTGTCGCTAAAAAAATTAGCATTAAAAGTGTTGTTTAGTAACGACAAAATTTTTATCAGTGATTATTCTTGTAAATTTTTAGTTATTCGTAATTAGGAATTTGACCTTAAATCGTTATTAAATTTGGCATCAGACGATATGTGAAATTGTAACGATATGTTACGGTTTTCTGTATCAGTTACAGTTATTTCCATAAAGATTGCATTTTCACATGGAGATATATCACTGATTGTGAGTACTGCAACGAAAAGTACAGAATTTTAAATCAGAGGTAGAATTCTGAAGCACTGATTCGTAAATTCGTAACATTCTTGGCATAATTCAGAATTTGGAATCGTTGATACAGATTTTTGAATCCGGCTGACGCGCAGAATTTCGTATCAAAAGCGATACAAAATCCTATATTATCTCAAGAGCAAATTCACAATTTTGTGCAGTTTGTGCACAAAAAATTACAAAGTAATTGAGAGTGACGAAATTCCCATGATTTTGTAACTAAAATTCTTTCGAGAAACTAATATTGTTGCATATCTTAAGGGGGCACACCAGTGAAAATGTAGAGGTTTTGAAAACCGATCACTCTGAGAAAAGTAACCTATGTATTCGATTGATATTTTATTCGTGGCTCAAAATTATATCAAAGAAAAGAAAAATCAGTATGGGAGGGTGGGGGGCATGGCAAGACGGAGCGCCAGTGCCTTCATTTTTCTGCGACCTCGTCTCACTCCTGCCACGATTCCGCCTCTCTGGATTGAGCCTCGAGCACGGGATTTGAAAATTTCTCAACAGGTTACATGTGGCTATGGTCTGAACCACGGGCATGCAAAAAGAATGATTTTGAATTTGTTTTTTCAAAAGGCAAAAATAAAAAGAAATTTTTTAACCAATTTTTTCGCGCTTTCATGGCTGCAGCTCACGTCCTATTTATGGGATGGCCATTTCCGAGGTTCAGACCATAGACGCAAGTTTAACGAACATTTTGCCGCAAACCGCATTAATTTATCTCAATTTTTGCGCCCGTGAGAGTGGCACGAAGGTACAAAAAAGGTGTTTTGAGAAAAAGCCTCTTTAGTAGAAACATAGATTTGACGGTTTTTTTCGGATTATAAATGCGCTATTTGACGTATTTAAGTTCGTTTTGCGCTAAAATGACCCTCTTTTTAACTGCGTTTGGGTTGTTCAAGGGTTTTGTAATTAAACTTCAAGTGAAAAAGCTGAACGTTCACAATTGGTCCAAAATATCCGGGAAATAATACCTTTTTAACAACTTCAAAAATGTGCACAAGCCAAAGTAATTGGAATTTTGGGGTGGGGTTTGCGGCAATTCGACTCGGGAATGAATAGCAGAAAAATAAGAAAAAAAAAAAAAAGGCAAAAATTTGACGATTTTCACTGGTGTGCCCCCTTAAATGTATTTGTGGCAGCGAATTTTCGTTAACTAATATCTCTTACTATCTCTTTCTCAGGAAGCGAATGTCGGAGCCGCGCTGAAGGCCCTTTGCGTCGATTCCATCAGTGCATGCGCTGACATGAAACCCAGATGGAAGTTACTGGCTGACACCAGCTTTGGCGAGGTAACTTAGATGTAGTATATAAGTGTATCGCCCCCCAACAAACTCAAGTGTGCTTCGGCTACAAGTAAACTTGTACGTAACATTTCCCAAGAGCCAGTCTGGCACAGGGGCGGACTGGGACCCAAACGGCCCGAGCGGGAAATTCATCGGACGGCCCCTACCCACAAGCGCCCCCCCCCCTCCCCGGCCGGTCTTCCCCATGTTTTCATGCCAAAGCAGTGTTCTGCTGAGAGGTGGTTTGGATGTGCCCCTTATTTTGGTATACATTATATAAATATGTATTTTAAGGGCATAAAGAGAGAGATCACACATTACAATGGTACATATTGCATATTAACCCACCCTCGCTCAGCACAGTATAATAGAGGTCCGAAAATGCAAAAAAAAAAAAAGAATTTTCTGTGCTTAAACTACTTTTTCTCAGATGTAACGATAAAAAATGAAGTTTCACGAAATGTGAGGTAAAGGGGGCAGCTTAAACCTTACCAAAGTTACAAAACACGGCCTTTTTTTCGGACTAGTTCGAGTTAATTTCCTTCAAATATGGATTTGGGCGGCCCAACTCTTTTCGGCACAGTTTAGAGTATTCTGTACAAAATGAGACCTCTCCGGGCCGACCTGTTTACGGTGGGGAAAAGAAAGATATGTGCCTTCAAAGATAAAAAGACAACAAAAACGGTACAGCATGTTTTTTTTTCGACTAAATTCAATTAGGAAGTTGAATTTTTGATTTGTTGAAATTGTTTTGCCGTTTTTCGATCCATTAGCACTATATCATCAGTTCCAGGTCGGACAACGGCTCAAAACGAAAGTTTTGAAAAGAATTTTACAATATTCAAAGTTTGCCGAAAACATAGGCCTACTGAAACTATTCGAATGAAAAGTCGTCTTTTGATCTTGTCTACATTTCCTCCGTTCTGCAGGTCGGAGAGGTCTCTTTTTTTAGAGAATACTCCAAACAAAAGTGTCGATAAGAGCTTCACTGAGAATGAATGGGTCACCACCATCACCCTTTACATGGGTGATGCAACTTCGTTGCTCAATTTTGAGTGACGAAAAATTCATCACCCGAAATTTGGTAACAGGCGTTTGGTCGCCCAAATTTGGGTAACGCCGTCGACGACGCCGTGAGGTCCGCGATAGACGTCCCCGGGGCACCACGTTGACCAGAGGCCTCAACGCCACATTGGGGCATCGTGGTGGCCCCGGAAGAGCGTCGTCGGGGACCTCAGCGCGTCGCCGACGACGTTACCCAAATTTGGGCGACGATTTTATGACTGCCCAAAATTTGGTCACCGTGGCCTCGTCACCCAAGGGCTACGATGCGTGCATTACCCAATGAAAGGGCGATGGTGGTGACTCTTTCATTCTCAGTGTTGGCTGCCCAAACTCATAATTGCTGGAATTAAACTCTAACAGTCGAAAAAAAGCGTGTGTTGTCTGAGGTGGCTGCCCACCTTTACTCCCTTAACCCCAAATCTTCAAAAACTTCATTTTGCATCGTTTTAAATTGATAACAGTGGTTTGAGAACTAAGTCTTTTTTCTCGCACTTTCTCGGCCTGTTTTTGCACTGTGCCGCTGTCTTTACACCCTCCCAAGTGAGGCTGAAGCTAACGGCCGTGGCCCGAGCTGTTGACTAATTCCTCTGAGGAGCGAAAGCCCACTCGGAGAGACCGATGGCCTGTCATAGTGCACAGTGCGGAACCGGAATCACTCTCAGGACACGCAGGCCGAGACGCAGGCAGCCCGCGGCATGCCCTTCTCGTGCCCACGGCCGACCCGACCCTGCAGCCCTGCTTTGGCCCGCGGCGGCCCACGGCGGCCCACGACGGCCCACGGCTTGCGGCCCGCGGCCCTTCCGGGCCTGCGGCCCGGGCGGGAATACTAAACCCGCCCGCCCGGGCCAGTCCGCCCCTGGTCTGGCATGTACACTCCACGCTGCAGTATGCTTGCCGCCAAGTATACCCCAGGGCCTGGGATCCTTAACTTATCTCGAAAATGCATCATAACGTTAACGTAAGCGCTAAAGCTAAAACCGGTAACTTATGGCTTCTTTTAAAAAGGAGAAGTTATTTTTCTAGCTTCTCAAATCTGTATTTGGAAGAATTGCAAGTCCATACCCATGACCGTTAGCGAACATTGTCTCGAGGCCACGTCAAACCATCATGATAGCAAACGTAATTGTTCAGATCAAGCCCCAATTTTTTCTATCGTAGCTTTCAACTAAAGGAACACTCCTCTATTATTTTTTATTTCAGAACTTAAATTGTGGTAATATTTCTGAATTTTCAAAGAAAATATCACAACTTACTTTTCTTTGAGTTTTTTTAATTGTGTCTTAAAGACTTCCAAGCATTTCTCATCCAAAAACAACGGTATGCAGTGCCATTGTTTTCGTTTTTTTTTTGGACGATTTCATGTTAATGTGAAGCAAAAAGTACAATTCATATTATTTTATAATGCACAAAAATCTGTTACCCACGAACCCTATCTGAGGGCGCCACTTTCGCCTCCGTTAGGGTGGTCCACTTTTTTTAAAAGTTTCAAAAATTGAGGAGCGCCGTCCAGATTCTGAAAGTAGGTGTAAAATCATGAATTTTGATACAAATATGATATGATTTGGACCATCCTTAGGGGTCCATCAACGCGCCTGAACTTTAAAGAAAAGTTGAAAATGTAGCGGTATACTAAAAACGATGCTGTTACGAGAGTCTTTGTCCGATTTTCGATTGCAAAACGGCGAT